TGTACACTCCGGTTTTTTCTGAAACTAAACTTCTAATCGACTTGCTTTCACTGCTCACACATCTCATCTTATAAGGTAAGATTATAAAACCATCTTTTAAGAGGATTTCAGTGAAAAATTCATAATTATATCTCATATAGTTCAAAAGTTATGAAAAAAAGAGTATTTTACAGCAAAATTTAAACGGGCATTTAAAAAATACTACCGCAGGAACAGCACGACAGCAGTATATGCGGGGTATTTAAACTACCACGTCGACGGGTTAAGAAAGTTTGGCTTCTTGCAACATTCCAGAATTATGAAACTTCCACCCTCACCCTATTGTTATAATAATTTTTGTTCAGGCAATGCCCCAGCCTAAGTCTCAATCTGACCAATTAGGGCGAATCAATTTTAAGTTTATTTTGTTGCAAGAGTGTTGCATCATCTTGAAAAAAGGAATCCTTCCTTGGCATGGGCGACACAACAATCTCATGCCAGATTTCGAATACAGCATATGCATTTCCAACATTAAGGTAGAGAGGCATTATGGACAGAGGTGTCACACATCCTGAAAATGATTTAAAAAATTACATAATATCTACCAAGAAGTTTTCTGGAAATCTTGCACATCTCATGCACGTCTACATTTCACACACACTGTCTATACACTTTTTAAAGGTGATCATGATCATAAGACCAAATCACATCTCTGTGGTGAGTGTTGTTTTTTGTCACAAAGTGCAAAGTTACAACACGTTAAGGCTGCGACTGTCAGGCTTCAGAGTGCAAGCACTACTGAGACAGACACATAAGAAATCTGCTACAAATGCCAAAAACTTAACACAGATGATTCATAATTCACAGTCCAATATAACAGTATTAAAGGGAGTTCACAAAAATGTCATCCATGTCAAAAATATCTGTTCCAGAATTTCAACTCAGACATAGTTCAGCATGTCACATGAGACTTAGTGCCACACCATTCATGATACTGTGAACGATTCAAGTGACTTACAGTGAGGAAAAGACTAACTGATCAACAGGGTAACTCACAACAACCACAACAGCAATATACTTCCATCACTGCATCTTTCCATGCTCTCTATGGTCTTCACAACATAGCGTGCATAAAGAACATCTTATAGGTCTGTCCATGTCTGCCTGCCCCATTTTCCTACAACAGTGAGCCCGGAGGTCACTGTTCTTTTTAATGTCCTCTGTAGATTACACTTGTCATCATTGTGAATCCTACAGTTACGCCCATTTTTATTCTTACATATTATTCCTGTTGTTAGGAAATTTCAAGCACTTGTTTGACTTTTTGTGCATAGTGTATGAAAAGTACATATTGTGGTTATTACTGGTCCTGGCATTCAAGGCACACACTCCCACATCAGAGCACATTGCACAATTTCATGTGCACAGCGCAGCCTTTCTTTAGTGACTGATTCAACTGTACAAGCTTCACGTTACCTTTCGGGAAGTGCAGCGAGTAGCAGTAGACCTGCAGAGCGTACACAGCCACCACCTGCAAGTCCGTCTGTTCATGGAGGAATGCCTGCAGCACCAGCTTGAACTTCTCCAGCAATGCCTTCTCCTTCTCCTGCAAAGCCTTCTCGGGGACTGCGTTTGGGTCACATCCCTCAACCAGCGTAGATTCCTGTGACAAATCACATCACACATGAAATGCCAGCTGGAGTAACAGCATCAATGCTACACTAATTTTAAATCAGGGACATTACAGCTAAAATCTCTTCTTTCACTATCACCTAGTCTACATGGTATAGTATTGGAATCTACAAATTCCATAATCAACATTTATTTATATGAAGGTGATGCAAGACCGTGAAATCAAGGTTCTTACCAACAATAAAATGGATATGTACCTGATACAAAAAATACATACAGAATTTTGGCGGGTGTTTGGGTTTTATTAATACCGACGGCCACATCACAATATACACAAACACAAACTTTGGGAAACAGCAGAGAGCAAATGTTTCCAGAGGACTAATGGATACAATAAGGAACACCTGTGATACATGGAAGAGATAGCAGAAAGAGCACATCCAGAGAAGAATTTCATCTGGTATGTCATTCAATGTGCAAATGGACGAGATAACAAGTAGAGGACAAGGACAAGATACTTGACTGTGAAAAATTATGGTCAAGTACAGCAGCCACTCAGGTGAGTATTTCCTCCATCCTGAGCTCTTCCCTATTATTAGTGTTTTTAATTCCATTCCTCATGGGTCTTCCCCATTAGTGCACTCACAAATTTCATCCCTACTGCTTGTAGCTTGCTCTCCCCTCCCCCACAGCACACATCATTGCCACTGCTCCATGTAATAGCATCTTTCTACAATATACAACAAATATTATAATTTTGCATTTTCTGTCTCACATCTTTATTCTGTATTAAACTGTTGGCTAAATGATAACATTCTGAAGCCTTTGCAACTCTCCTATTTACTTCATTTTGGAGGTTGCCATTTTTCTGTCATGCTTCTTTAGGAGACAAATTTATTTACCTCTTTTTGTCTCTTTTCAGTTCATTGTCATCAATGTGTTCTTTTCCCTCCATTTATCAATAGTTTTAACATTACAATCCTCTCTAGGTTTACATGCAGTCCATATTTCTTCCTTATTCTATCCAGTGAGTTAGTCTTCTCTGAAGGTGATTCACACCTACAACCCATATTACAATATTATCTGCAGATATAAAAACATTTAAATTTATTTCTCAAATTTTGTTACAAATTTCACTCAAAACAGGATTTTACAATGATGGTGATAATACACATCCTTCTCTGATACCTAATCCGGTATCAAACCATGGCCACCCCTCGTTGGTCATAATACAGGCTCTTTTCATATGGTTTTTCACTATTCTCAAAAAACCTGTTGAAATTCACAGCTTTCCCAAACTTCTCCAAATTTCTTCCCTTCTCATGACAAACATTCTTCTACACATCATAAAACATCAATAACCATCTTCCATATTCCAAATTTGCAGAGTGGACCCAGAGTAACATACAGCTTCAGCCATGTCTCTGAAAGAGGTGTGGGGATGATGGAAAGGTTAGAGGGAAGCAAGAATGCAAGAAGTTTGTTTCAATAAGTATGGCATAACTGAAAACATTTTTCACCTTAATTCTGACACAATCAGTGGCATTTTCATGCACTTACTTTTACACTACAATGTTTTTGTGGAGTAAGGAACCATACAACACAAGCAATGCAGGCACACACTTTAACCCCAACACGCTACTTCTACAGCTTAAACACAATAATTTCTCATGCGACAATAAACAAGGAAGGAATGGTTTATCTCTCTGTTTCCACTCTGTCACAGGTCTCCCTTCTTGTAGACCGGTACAATGACGCCTTTATACCAGTCCTCTCGTATCCTGCTTTCTATCCAAAGTTTCCATAAGAGCGGATGTAGCCACCGTGTTGCGACTGACTGCACTGCATTAATCCCTTAATCATGCAGAGACAATTCTTCATATTCTGGTGATTTATTATTTTTCACCTACTTGCTATTTCTAAATAACCCTGTTATTTTCTGTACTGTCCTCACCATCATTTTGTACATTTACTCCTTATAATATTCCATAATCAGGTACAAGCCTCTTCACATCCCACGCAGCACAACAGTGAACTGTATCAACAAATGTAAATTGGACTTCCAGTGGAGTCCTCAGTACATGAGTGCAATCTTTTGCGTACAGCACTGTACATTATTCCTGTGCAGTTCTCTGCACGAGTGATGCAAGCACAGTGATGTTTCCCTAGGCGATTAGATATCTGAGACAGCACATAAATTTATGTATCTTAAAACAGGAATAAAATATGAAAAATTCATGAAAACATACTGCAAAAATACCCATATATACAAAGAACGTTTCTCTTAATTGCTGGATTATAGAATATCTCATACTGACAGAAATAATGTATTGTATTGCAATCTGAATAAAGCAACAACTGTATTACATACAGTTTGCATAAGACAATTATAATTTTCACATACCGATTACATGATATATAAACTTGTGTTTCTGGTTCATATCACTGCACAAAATATTAAGAAAGATGCAGAATTTTCCCTGGCTTTATGCGGTTACATTTAGAGAACCAGAACAGCTTCCAGCTAGCTTGTAACTGCAGCCATTTAATTTGCACCTGGAGGGTTTTGTACCACATCAAGAAACTGAAGCTGAGGGGGCATGCCTCCAAGAAGAACAACTGTACGTCTGTCCCATGCTTCTTTTAGCTGGCGAATAATCAAATCATCAGCCATTCAACATGTGAATAGCCAGTATATTCTACCACCACACACTACAACATTTAACATCAAGTTCAGACTTAACCACCATATTAAGGAACACGGGCCTTTCACCTGCATTTCTGATTTGATACTGCAGGCAGTCCAACCATGTTTCCACTGCACACTATTCACATGCTGGTGGCACATGCAACTAACTTCTAAGCACAGTCCATGTGAAGTTTCTGAGCTAATGCGTTTCTACAAAGCGGTAGACAGTTCTGCCACATAAACACAATCATCCATCCAACACCTGACTTGTAGACCTGTCACCATATTTTCTGTAATGATGAAGGTTTTCATATGTACTCTCTCCCACTAAAGAGGAAGCCCATCTTACAAGATACAAATTAATAAGAGTGAAATAAGGTGGGGGTTCAGAGGGACTTTGCTACACTTATTAATGTGCTCCCCAATCACACTATTCCTACACAGAGTGCATCTGAAAATTCTCTAAAAACTTTGGTGGTGAGCCCTACACATAGCAAAAAACAGGTATGCAAACATCTTGCTTTTGATATAATAAATTCTTCTCAGGCTACCAGCAGTGTAAGGAATGCCTGCCTGGTGGGGAGCATGCATATATGCAGGTTTCAGAAAAAAATACTGTTTCCCAGTGGGCTAAGCTCATGCCTCAATGGAGTTTTCAGCTCACTGGTCCTGCTCTAGCACTTAGACCAAGATTTCGATGACAGGGGAGAAACAGGTAAACACGCGAGGCAGAGCAGTAGTTTTTGGCATAAATATTTTCTCCTACCTTCATGGAATTGCAAATTATTTCATGAAATGTGTGAACAGGTCCTGCAAGACATTAAAAAGAATTCATCGTGAAATACTCCACTAAATCCAATGGAAATAGCAGGGGAAAACAAATGATAAATGTTTGAAAAATGTGAAATTGTTGGTAAAATAGATAAAAATTTAAACAAGGAAGTACTGTTAATAAAATTAAAAAGCCACACCTGGTGATGCAATGATATAAATTTCACTCCCACTTAAGGAGTTAATGAAGCAGACAGTTTCAACAACCGTCCTTATCCTCAGGGTACCATAGTTGAACAACAGTACCCTGATGTGAGGATGAAGATGGTTCTTGAAACTGTTTTCTTCATTTGACACAGTTGGTAGCATGAGAATAATTCATTATTCTTAGTCACCATGAAAGCTTCAGATCATACATCTCCCTTTTGAGTTACACCCTGGCAAAGCACTCCTTGTAAAGACCACTTCAACTGATATTCTCACCTTTGGTGTCCTACAATACTTTAGGGTAGCAAAAGCCTGTGCACATCTTATCTGACATTCCATTATTACTGCCACTGGTTTCAGGCCTCTTCAGACAATGGAGCCATCAGTCTTGTATCCACAGATGGACCATCAGTCTAGTGAGCTGTCAGGCCAATTTGCCAACACAAGAGGCATTATGTCTGTGATTTTTTCAACAATGTGCCAACTCTTCCCTTGCACCATTAGTGCTCGTTAGATATGAGGAACATGTTAACAAATGGCATCAATATTCATAATTACCCAAAGGCAGAGGAAATCCTCATGGTATGGTCCAGTGTACACACTAGCAGCAGTTTGGCATCAATGTTTGATCAGGGGTTCTTAGTAATTATTTGACATATATGCACATATCATATATATGCTAAGAAAATAAGTTTCATTTCAACTTCATACAATGTTTAGCTATGTAGAACTCACTCCCAAAGTTTGTACAGACCTTGCACATACATCCTGTAAAGATCTCCTAAGCATGTATGTAGACAACGGATGGCACACATCAGAATATGGGAGAATATCTGTAGAGTTGATGTTTAACATGTTCTAAATGTGAACCCACACAGGAAACATTACAATGTCAAAAGCCTTCTTACACATAATAGAAGAGAATTCATGTCTTAGCTGCAATATACATCTTTTCATATGTGACATTGTAGATTTATTTTTTAACAGGGCTGCCAAGATTTATACAGTGGTATTTTACTTTTCTGCTACCACATAAATCTGGGTGTAAAATATACACCCCATACCACCAACCACATGAAAACAGGAAGGACTGTGACAGAATGGCCTTTCTGACATTGGAAGCAAATTTCCTTGACTTTAAATTGATAAATGCTATGAAACAGCTGTTATCACTAGCCCTAAAAATATTACCAGCCGAGTATTGCTGTTAATGTAACATCAATGACTCCAGTGTAGTATTTTCTATTTACAAACAGTGTAAGAACACACTTTCTTCTTCAGACACTCAAGTATGAAAAAAGTTATTGGTATATTCAAGAATATAATACAGTAAACCCTCATCCAACATTCCTCAAAAGCGTGTTCGGTGGTTCCAGTTGGAATAGCTTAGTACTGTACGGAATTAATGGGGACACAAACGTGACCGTGGAAAGTCAAAGCAAATAAAAGAATAATGAATATACTGTAATGGCATTTATTTACAAACAAACTGTATAATATAATAAAGTATTAATGGGAAGTTAAGCAATAAAGTAAATTATGAACAGAATTTTAAAAGAGAATATTAACGGAACATTACAGCAACTGCTGCTGTGCCCATGCCCAGAATATTTATTTTCTGTCATCTACTATTGTAACTTTACAACTTCCCGCTCCTTCATTACAACTCCTGCATTCATGTTTTAATTCGAGTAAACATGAACAGTACACGAGACTGGGGCTTTGGGGGTTGTGTGCAGTTTTGCCGACACAGACACAGGAGGAAGAAATTTCAGGATGACACCAGATGTGAATGACTTACAATCTTGCACAAAGTTAACCAAAACAAACCAACTTGGTTACACAAAAACACATGAAAAGTAAAAGTGTCTTCAGCTTTTTTTAAACAGCAGTGGTGCTGTCTGTATGCCACTACAGCATTCTGAAGACCACATTAATAAAATTTTCTGGATTTGGCAATTGCTTGCATTTATTTTCATACATATAATCAAATCGCATTGGAGGAGGGTTCACTGTATGATTCTATTCATATTACTAGAAGCCAACGTCAACATATACAACACAAAAACGGACATAATTCAAGAAGGTATTAAGTAGATTAATGGCAGCAGAGATGAAATTTATATAACAGAGGAACAAACTGAAAGAGAAACAAAATGCATTTTGAGATATTTAAAGATAAACACCTTTTTAAGGTTAATTAGGAAGAGAATAAAATAGAATGATTGAATCGAAAATCTCAAACCAGGTTTTGAGCATTGAAGTAAAAGAGGGAGGGAGGGAGGGAGACCAAGATCAGATTAGGAAAGATGTCGCACAGAAGGAAGGATGAACACGAGAAGAGACTGAGGAGCAAAGTTTGGGAGGACAGCAACAGATGGAAAGGCTGCTTGGTTATTAGGTTACCCACAAAAAGCACAAAGGTCTCAGGAGAAGAAAGAAGAAGTATTAATGGCACATAAACTTGGAATTCCACTACACGATTCACTCAGAGCCTTATTACTAGTTACTTTACCTGAGTAATGTATTTGACAAGCACGGTCATCAGTGCATTAATAAATCCAGCATTTGTGTGATACGACGGATCCAGGTTCTCCTTGATCCATTTGTAGAATTGGGTGGGATTTGGATCTGCCTGGAGCTGTTTCCACAGTTCTGACTGGATCCTCAGAAGTGGAAACAGAAATGTGAGTCCACGATCCTCAAGGATCTCTGACAATCGATCCTTGGTCCGGTCCACCTCAGGCAGCATGTTCAGCAGATTAACCTGCAATGTTTGAAAGCATCTAGAGTCTCCTAAGTCGCAACGTGTAACATGCCTCAAAGAAGCAATGAGCAAACTGGGTACATTACTCCAACCATGAACTGAAATATAAGACAAGCTACACTCACATATCTTACCTTGCTATCATTGAAAAGCTGTGTTAATCTTGTTTTGCCTTGGGTCTTGTAAAGTTGCTGCAATATCAGCATAAAGAGAGGGTAATGTGCACCGTTTTCTGTTATTTCTGAGATTTCCAGAAGAGAAACAAGGTCTTCTGAGACAGCATGGGCTGCAAAACCTAATGATCACAAGCAGGACAAAGTAATTAATGGCACATCACTTTCATAAATTAAAACAACTACAAAATGTTTCTAAACCTGAAAACTGATTTGTACACACTGCTCCAAGATCGCTTTATACACAGCTCGTAAGGCACATAGTAAAATCTGTCTTAGGGGGCAAACCTATTGTAATTTAAAAGCATGTTACAAGAAACTAGCTTAAAATGAACACAATTTTTGTTGAATCAAAACAGGGAATGTAACAAATTCTTCTTGGGCTACCAGCCATGTCAGGTTATTGAAAGAAGTAAACACCAAAGCTTCGAGAACCATCTCAGTCATCGTCCTCAGGGTACTGAAGTACAGCACCCTGACATAGCTAGTAGCCCAAGAAAATTCATTATACCTAAGTCACTGTAAAAGTTTCAGGTCATACAAAAATAAGTGGGAATAACATTGAAGCTCAGACATTTCCAACCTTCACTAGGTCATATAAACCTTCTGGTGGAAACCACGAATGCTTAGAATATGGTATCATCACAGCTTCAAAAAGATGGGAGGCAGTTAAAGTTACTTGAAACAATGATTTTAGTGTGACAAAGTATGTTACATTATGCAAGGACCTGGTGTTTAAATGTAAGTCACTGAATTTTTGTGCAATTCCGCGTACCTTTCGCTTACTTCACTAACACTTAACCAAGGGGGAGACAAAAGGATATCGCCACAGTCCAGAGCCCACCTAACACATTGCTGTACCACGTAAATTTTGCGCGTAGTGAAGTTACTATATCAAACAGCAGAAACTCATTAAGCTTGGCAGTGGCACTTGAAAGAAAGCAGGAACCAGCAATATCTCAAAACAATCTCAAAGTCTGTAGAGGAAGGGATGCAATAATACAATCAAAATGATCACCTGCAACATGAGAATAGATGCGTGGAATCTCCTGATCCTTTTCAGCCATATGCATAACAAGTTCACGGAAACCCTCCAGAAATTGAGCAGAAGTCACAAGCGACTCCTTCTTTAATTCTACGATCAGATTTCCAGCCAGCTCACGATCCGCGTCTGCAAAAAACAAGAATTATGACAACTCCAACAATATCACGTTGCTTCACAGCTTCGATGGTCTGGCTTAAAACAGAAAGACAACAGCAGCTTATCGCTTCTTTGTGATTTGGGGGAAGGGAGGATAAAACACATTCTTTCAAGTGTGAAGTGTTGAGTGATGGGCTGTTTCCCCAACTCAATCTACTTCATCAGTTTCAGTTCTTCTTCTTTTGTAATCAATCCTGGGATTGGTTGGCAGCAGCTTTTTTAGCTGCTGATACTTGAGAAATACATTCTCAAAAGTCAAGCAGAGGTCAGCAAGGGTCAACAGTGCCACTTTTCCTCATCAAAGAGGTGGTAAGAAACACAATATAATGCAATCCTTAATATCTCAGAGAATATCTAACATGTCATGGTTTTACTCAGCATCAACTGTAAATCATAACACAACTTACTAACTTTGACAGGTGTCATATTTGAGATCTGAGGTTTCCACATAGCAGAAAACATGAAGTAGGTTGTCACACAGGAGAGTAAATGGTAGATTATTTGCCAAATAAGCTGTTACTACCAAACTGTGTTACATTCACAGCCTCTGTATAATTCTTTGCAAGTACAGTAGTGCCATCACCACCACCTCTTTCCGATCGACACTCAGTACCTAATGGCGTACCAAATTGAGCATCGTCATAAAACTATATGTAGGCAAAATGCATGTTCAAAATGACCTTCGCATTTTTTGTAATGCATATTTCTCTGTATTCTACAAAGGCCACTGATACCCTACTGGTTTTCCATCCAGTAATCCTATTATTTCTACTGATACTGCATCTTCAACAGCCGCTATCCATATTCCAATCCTCACGGCTGTTTCCACATACAGCATACACTTTCCTCAATCTCTTGCTTTTCCAAGTTCTTCCCCTACCCACACTCTTCCTCTGCTTCTCCCAATATCTCACCCATCAAACAACTTTTGTGAACAACCTCTCTCACATCCTTGTCTGTCCGCATTAGCTTCTTCCGAATCTCCCAAAAAATTCTCCACGACTATGTTTCTGGCAAATCTGATAATTTTCAAAACTTCTTATTTTTTATTGTTTCCCATCTTTCCCCACTTCCTTCTTTTGCACCTTTAAACATATTCTTAAGGCTGAATGGAATGGTAAGTGGCACATACTTAATTCAGCAGTGATACTAACACAGAATAGCAGTAGCAACTGGCAAACATAATCTCAGATGATTACAGAAAATAGGGACTTGTTTTGCAGAAGTAATGAAAGAATGCCACATTGGCAGACGTGCGTGTACATGACCATGGAAGGTGATTAATAAGTGCTCATTATATAAAAATAATTAAACAGCATGCATAATTAATTTTGTTGACAGGGAGGTAAAACATATTCCTGCATCCAACACTGTTACACTGACCATAGAATAGACACTTTTCATTACAGGCCAAACCCATCACACCAAGCATTTACTGTAATTCCAAACAAAATAATGTGCATACAAAACAGCAGAGTCAATGACAACACTGTGGAGCAGCTGCTGATATAGAATACAAAGCTGGCCACATGAAAATTGGGAACATGGGAAACATCTCCCTCCCAAGCTTTGCAGGAATCTACGTTTAAAATTTATGCAGTTACATCCGTAAATCAAGGTAAACAATACATCAGTAAAATTATAAAGCTTGGCCAATGTGGGAACCTGAGATCACAGTTTCACTGCATATTCTATTAAAACACATCTGTCAATTTACAATACAAAGTAAGGAAATTTCACAAGTCATAGAAGCTACAAATGAAGCTCAGACACATTCAACTTTCACCAGGTCATGGAAACCCTCCAGTGGAAACCGCGAATGTTAAGAATAAAGTATCATCACAGCTTCAGCTCCTGAAAGTGATTTCCATACAAATTATGTCAAGCAATATCTGTTTAAAAATACAGGTGACGTTAATAGAAAAAATAATATGCCTATTTCTTTGCTGCACCTGTTTGTGTGTGTATAACAGATAAAATGCATCATAAATAAATTAAAAAATTAATAACAAATTTCTACCTCCTGAAAGTAGCTGGACATAACTGGCACTGCAGTTTGTGAATTTTAATATAAAGAAAATGCTTAATTCAAAATTTAGGAACCTACACTGAAATCACACTACAAACCATAGAAAACATGTTTTTAACCAACACAGAGATATTTTGTAAGTCTGAAATTGAAATATTGAAAAGAACTTGATTCAAAATATTCACACTGCAAGTAATGAGAAGTCAGAATACACTGCCCAAAAGAAGAAACAATGGACATACCCAATACAAATCCAATATTGCAAAAGATATGCTGCCAGCTACCTTACCATTCTTATCCAAGGTCTGAGTCATGATGGCAAGCAGTATGTAGCGCAAATATCTGTCAGGTATCTTCTGTTCGCGGTATGAGCTGAGGGCATCCTGCACGCTGCCAGATTGAAGATACTCTTCCATGAGTGATTCAATCTTCTTTAGGACATCTTCCTTGCTGGGACCCTGAGAAGCACATCAGTTACCTTACAAAGCAGAGCCACAATGCAATTGTCTATGACAAACATAATCTTGTGTGCAACTCAGACACCTTCAACCTTCATCTGGTCCTTATGGACCTTCCGGTGGAAACCGCGAATGAAGAACTGGACATTATAATCATTGTTGCAATGGATCTCTGACACTGAGCAGAGGAAAATAACAATAATAAGCCCAAGATTTAAATCTTGGGCTTATATTAAGTCAATTATATAAGCATAATATTATGCACGTGTCCTGCTCATGATTTGTTGTAAATATAGAAAGATACTGTCATATTTATACAAATATAAACCAATCATTTTTCTCAAATTTGCATCCCCTAAAACAAACGAGGGCTTACAAATGGAATTGTTTTAAGGTAAGATAATCGGTACCATGATTGATTAGGTAGTGTTGCATTATGGTTGACATGGTGAAACAGCAAATATTTCAATAACTTAATACATACAATATATCAGAAGGCAACAATACTTATTTTGAAAGGTCACTTCATCCTTGTTTCAGCAAACTCTTGCCCTTGAATGAGAAATGAAAGCAAGTCTGGAGGAAAGAAATTTCAGAAAACACTTAACCTCTCTTGCATGAACACCTGAAGCAGTCCAATGGGATCTCACGCAAGTATGTAACTACTCCCGCAGAAATTTATCTATGTAATTGTATGTACTTTGGTGTCTGAAGAAATTAAAGGGGCAAATTCCATCAACTGGCTTCCTATTAAGAGAAGTTACTGGTACAGGCATTGACACCCACCCACAACCACAAATGAACAACCATGGATAAGTATTGTAGAAATTCCTGCAAGACCAGGCATTGATTAATGCCGGCATCCTCGGCGTAAACTTCTTGTGTAGCGACTATCTTTATGCCACACTTACTCAACACAGGTGGACTGTAACTGAACCACACTCACAGCATGTAATTGTCTGACATTTAGCTTCAGTACGACTAAGCATTAGAAGTATTGCCAACAATACAGCAAAATTTAAAATTCATGAAAACAAAAGATCTGTCATGTTAATGTTGTAGAGGTCACTGACATGCATCTCTTTATTTACAGATACAATAAGCCACTGACAAAATGCACCATTATGTAGTTCATACAGTATGAAAATAATCACACCAAACTGCCTAGTTCAGTGATGTTCAAAACAGACTGTAGATCCATACCTTGTCTTTCTTTCCACCCTTACTCTTGTCAAGTGAGGCCTGTTTAATGAGTATTGGTGGCTCCTTATGCAATAGCGGGGGGCTTGGCTTCAGTTGAGGTGGAGCCATGAGCGGTTCGCTCATGAGACCAGGAGCACGACCTACGTTCAAACACAAAAAAGACCTTTGTTGCTGTATTGCATAATTCAGAACTATGTGGCAGCATACTGCACACATAAAACTTTGATTATTTCTTAAGACTGACCCAACGTGTCTTTTCAAATGGTACACATCTCGACTTAACAACCACATATAGATGAACTTATGACAGACAATAATGAATCAGAATTATGAGGTAGCAATTTGAACTTTCACAGGACAGTCAGATTTGAGCAATTACCCACCCCCTTGTACTGACTCCCTGTAGCTTCAACGAGATTATAATACTTGTTCCAGGATTTGAGGTTTCCACAGCGGAGAGTTTGAAGATAGCTGTCTTCTGGGTTGTTGCGCCATGTAGTCTGCTAGAAGTTCACCGACTTTTCAGCTCATCGCTGTAATGATGAAGGCAGCAAGGACCTATGATATACTGGTTAAACTTCTACCAGACCACATGGTGCAACAATTCAGAAGACATCCAACTTCAATCCTCTATGTCTCATCAAGTTTAAAATCCTGATGGTCAGGTTCCATGCATGGCTCAACTTTGAAATGCCAGGTCACCACAAGCGACTTCAATGTACAGTAAAATAGCTTATTGCAACCCACTTTTTTTAAATAAAAATTTAGTACTGAGAATACACAGAAAGTAGTAAACATACAATAGCATATTTTAACACAGAAGATTAAGCCCACTAACTGCAGTAAAACCTCTACCAATCGTTCCCTGAACTACTGTCTGTTTTGTTTGGTCCCTGAGAAGTCCCATATAAAATGTCACATTTTCTCACTTCTACCATTCCTCGAACAGTCGTTTTATAGCATCAATCATTCAAATATCTTAGTCCTGACCCACAATTTTCCTGCACTGATAGTTTCAGAGAAATTATAACAAAATTTACACAATGCTTTTAGAATTTAAAATGATCGATTTAGAGTTAAATTCATACTGGAAGACACAGTGTTTTTAGAATATACAGTGGCGGTATCCCGTCATGTCATCCGACCAGCAGCGAGTCATTTGGAATGAGTGGAGTGCGGTGAGAGCTGTAGTGAACGGCGGTGCTCAAGGGGTGCCAGATGGTGTGTGCAATGTTAATTTCTTCAGGAAAGCTTACATTATAAGTACAAAGGAAAGGTGGCAATTTTCATTTTTCTGCCTCATCTCGTTTTGAGTGATTCAGCATCTTCTACAGCTACGTTTCGTCAAAATCGGCAGTAATAGTATTCTCCGTTCTTCCTGTTACTGTTCCTGTAAATGCCCAGTAAAGCAAGTCAACACCATTGATGAGTTGTGTGATGTTCGCGAAGGGGGGTGGGAGTGGTGAGGAAGGGGTAGAAGACAAATGCGAGCCCAAATTTGTGCCTAGTCTTGCCGTAGCACATGCTGCATTGGTAAAGTGAAATTGTTCTTTTATGCGCACAATATTAGCGAAGGTGATGAAAACATTTTGAACATGGAAAAGCCCTTCTTCGCCTAAAACGTACATTTTTGACAAAACAGTTGCCCATTAAAAACATTTTGGTACTATTTTAATTTTTTTCCTTTCTTCTCATTTTTAATGCTTCCCCGCAAGTCGTTTCCCTGTATTTATTTTTTTTATTTCCCTCTCCCGTCAAAAACTATGCATCGAGGCTTCACTGTACATATCACAGAACGCTATATTAAACTCATTCACACTAAGCTGCAACATAATTGAAGTAAGAACATTCTTCAGACCCAAAGCAGCAGTTCACGTAGCAGCACTACCATAAACACAGATCACATACCTGTACTGAGCAGCACTGGCTTCGTGTTGCTCTGTTTGAACATCATAGACATGGGGGCAGGTCTAAGAGAGACATCCTCCAGATTGCCTTGTCCCTGTTGTTGTGCCAGCAAAATTTTATTCTTGAAACGAGGTGGCAGTTCCTTGTTCCCAGCTAAAAACATATCAAAAGTTATACTAGAAAATTAATAAAAACCAGGGCTACACAAATACATGTTATAACCGTTAGCCACTGAACGTAAACCGCATTTAGTCAAGCAAACTGAAACGCGTCAAAGAGTTGTACTAGTTCTGTTACTGCTTTCAGCTCATTTGATAAATAAGCTCTTGTACCTGGGCAATGTACCAATTTCATTAAGATCTGTCCAGCGGTTCTCAAGTTATATCATGCAGATACACTCACTTCGTGCACTTTGCGGAAAGAATGCATAATAAACAAATGTACAACTGTAAATAATTGCGTAGCTGCATCAGTTATTTCATTTTCACAGCCTAGCCAAGCAGACATTTTTCATGATGGACAATTTATATTAATTCCATGCATACAGCAATCACACAAGTGTTAAAAAATATGGCAACAGAACATGACGACATTCCTGCAACAATTTTTGTTGTCAGGTCGAAAAACAAAGCACCCATTAAGAGCTAACAGCCTGAAAGAAAGTAAATATAAAGCGCAGTTAATACACTTACAGTTATTGAAATTCTGTTGCTGCTGGGAGTTGTTGATGTTATGGTTCTGTTTACTATGGTTCTGGCTAAAGTTCTGTCTATTGCTAGGAGCACCTGGATAGAAAGCCTGCTGCTGGTGTGGCCGCGACTGGCTGCCGCCAGGCCGGTAGTTCGACTGGAAACCATTCCCGCCAAATCTGCATCCCAGAAAACACAGGATCACGATGACAGAATCAAGGACAGTTAACTGAACAGGTGACAAAGTCTTTGAAAAAATATGTTATTGCACATTGGAGTTTTGACTCTTTCACTAGGAACAAATTGTGAACATGCTGAATTACCTCATAACAACAACTTTTGATGTAGGAAACAGAATTTTAAAGATGTATTTTAAATCTGAAATTGTTGCAAATTTTATAACTGCAGTAATACATAAATTGAGGGAAAAGTCTGGAAAAAACTTATGTACTTAAACAAACTCTGCATCATGTTCCCACAGAACTCTTTGAATTAATTTTCTGCTTCATACTGGATGTGCAGTAATGGTCCAATGAAATGAGTACGATAATAATGACCTGTGATGAAGATATTTAAATCAAACCAAGCACATACATCACAAACTGATCTTCCCATTCTGTTAGTAACGGTTGAACCCCACAGTAAATTCTTGGTATTAAAGAAGAATGAAGGGTGGGGGTAGCTGTGATAGTAAGAGCACCAAATTGACTGAGATACTGGTAATACTGGAGGCATGTAAATTTTACACAAAAGAAGCTCAGATTGAGTAGGCACACTTGCGTAGCAATGACCTGCAACGAGGTACTGAGGGTGACAAGTACAGTAGATGCTGTCCTTCTCAACTGCCCTCTTGCTGTCTGGGTGGTCATAATGGTAGGCCATATATCCACGCAGGTTTAATGCATGGGACAAACAGAGGTGAATCTCCTTAAGACAGATGATGGCTAGGTTGTGACAGTGAATTAAGACCAACAGGTCACGGACTCGCATCCGGAAGCCATTGGCATTCAATTAAAAATATCCACTTCTTGTCTAAGAAAACAGGGCACTGTCTGTCACCAGATGCAACTCATAACTACAAACCTGATGGTAAGTTGTACACATCAGCAAGCTGCAAACTTGTGTCCCTACCACGGGGATAACAATTCATATACTGCAATATCAGTAAGGCACCATTTCAAAACAACTCACTTAATATTACAACTTACGAGAACTTGTCATGTGGAGCTGGTATTGATGCGAGAGATGTTCCCAATGGGAAAGGTGGCAACACTTCTTCCAAGCCACTACGCATCTTAAGGGGATGCCCAAATAACGCAGGAATTCGACCAGCAGGGCCACCACCAGCCCCAATGTGGGGAGGATAACCTCCTCGTCCACTACCGCGAGGTTCTTCATCGCGAATCTACAACCAAAGTGTTGCATAATACATGTTAACGACTTCTCACTAACCACATCCTGTGAAAACCTGAAAAAAAAATGAGGTTAAAAATATTATTCTAAGTATATTCTCCAGAGTTAACTTGCAGTAGTTAGAAGTTTGCAGCTAAAGGTTATCTTGATTTCTTTCCTTTTCATAATGATGAAAGGACACATGTCAGAACACTCATCTTCTGAAAGCAAAGAATAAGGTCAAAGCTCAGACATTTCTAACATTCATCAGATTACAAGAACCTTCCAGTGGAAACCACGAATGACTAAGAACATATCATCATCATTGCTTTGACCAACTACACAGCGAGTGTCATTTTACACAGGTGGCTGCATAGCACTCAGGTGTAAGAGACAATTACTCCTTCCATGAAGTTTGACCCAAAGAGATTTCAGCTTCTGGTAAATCATACCCAGACTGCAGCCCATTGTTCTCCATATAATTTTGACATCTCCATAAAACACACACTTCCACAAGTTCTTGCAAAATGTAGAAAACTTCCCTTTGAATATTTCGCTGCAGTTCTTGAACTCTGAGGGTCTCAATTGTAAACATTTTGCTCCACGGCTCCCTATACATAAAAGTCATATCGATCAAAGTACTGGCCACAAACTACTAATATTACTGCTGTCCTTGCAAACAATTCCCTGAACACAACAGTGGATGCCCTTGCTGTATGACAAGCAGTGGAATTTTATTAAAAAGATGCAGACTTGCTTTCTTCACTTGTTAGACTCTCAAAAATAGTATCTGCTGCACGTACATTTTAGAATTAATTGTCCTCAAACAAACTCAGACCAATTACCTCATCAGTACTCACAGATTTTAGAATCACATACCAAAACTTCTTGTGTTAGTCTCAGATTAAGAAATCTCCAGTACCTATTCTGTGAATTTACCTCCACATATAATATGTGGAAACCAAAGCCAGAGAACATAATCAGGTCAGAGTCCATTTCATGAACACAAGTCTAAGGGATCAAAGCACAAAAAATTTTGTAATCAGGATCATGTTGCAATTTACAAACTACTGCTGTCTCAAATGCCTTCAGTTACATAAGTTTTGTAGAAATTTATTGCAACAATTTTTAAACACATATCCTGTGCAAGGCATCTGAAGAATTTCTAAGCAGTGCATTCTATCAGATCTAGCACCATTTTTCTCCATAAGCATTTGACATCTTCATTACTTGTTCAGTCTAGTGCCACCTCCATCTTAATTTACAAACAATTCTACTGGTAGTTTCATTCTGTGGAACTATAACACCCTGAAATATATAGCGCCTCCTCACTTCTCTCACGGAACCGCTTATCACTAGAGTACTGTAAAATAACGCCTATCCTCTCAACGTGTATCTCATAAGTGGCGTTTCAACACAGGAACGACTGTTTATTGCACAGGTAAAGTACAGGTGAGGAAGTTAAAGCAACAGGGACGCAGGACATATGAGGGGCTGACCCAAACCATGCTTCATAACCAAAACGTCATTATCCCTTGGACACACCAAGAAATTCATACCTGATGAATGGGCATGGGGCCCTCTGTGTTGGTCGCTTTGCGAGGGACCCACTTGTCCCGACGTAATTCGATGACATCTCGAAGCATGAAGCGAATCCTCAGTGGTAGCTCTTGATTCTCCACAAGGAAGCCCATTCGCTCAAAATACTGATCCATCAGTTTCTGTAAACAGAAGAATACATGGCCCTAGACAACAAATGCAACAGAGAAACTTTGCTTTAGAATGTCCCATCAGAAAGGTCCACGCAAGTAAAGTGGGGTGTGAACTTAGTGGGTCACATGCTGATAATAGTAATGAATGTGCAAAAACATAATCATGATAACGAAAAATAATACATCTATTATATGACAGCAAAGAAAACAGTCTGGAAGTAAATGCAGAACATACAGTCGATGTTCATGTCCTGTCACTAGACTACAGGACAAGGTCATTATATAAACACAGCTAATAAATCCTACAATAATATAAAGTTCAAGTATTTGGAAATGCAGTTACAAAGCAAAATTGCATTCATGAGAACATTGAAACCACACTAAATATGGGGAATCTTTGTAAAAATGGAGCTCAGAATAGTTTTACGTATGCTACTTTGAAACAAAGATTAAAACATGTATCACACCTGCCACTTAAATATGTTAAGATTAAAAGTATAGAAATCTACACATTTACCACCTCTTTTACAAAGGACATAAAACTTTCTCTCTCACATTAAGATAGCACACAGATTCAGGGTGCAGAAGAGAACATCCAAACCTAAGCAGCATTAAGTAAGAGGAAGAGAAACCTGCATGACAAGTTCCGTAAATTGTACTCTTCGCCAAATACGAATATGCACTTATTTTTTGTTTCCACTATTTAGCATTAAAGGTAAATCACTTTTTCAGTATACCTGCTTCTCAATGCACTTTGTCCAGCAGCTCACAACTTTCTCACACCACTGGAAAAAAATGTTTGGGCTGATTGCAAAGCCAATCATACACTACTTCCTTTACCTCAACATCATTTTCAAATCAACAAACTCCAAGAGCCTCCTTTATGGGTCCAAATGGATGGAAATCCAAAGGTGCAAGGTCTGAACTGTATGCTGGATACTTGAGAATCTCAAATTCCACTTCTGAAGGGGTATCCTAGCAAACTGAAAGTGATGCAGACATGTACTCTTCCTCAAAGCAGTTTACTCGGTGGGTCCGAGGTCATGTCAGACAGTGTATCAACATGTCATCTCACGTGCTGCAATGCAAGCTATTCTGTACCTTCTGCAGACAGGAACGAAAATCCAGAAACATTTTGGACCATCGTCATATTATTCAGATGATCAATGCAAGGAAGATCGGATTAACAGGACATGTAATAATGAGGAGGTGAAACTTGCCAACCTCTACATATGAAGACAATGTAAAAAAAAAGGCTGTAGACACTCACCTTTCCTTTGTCAGAGTCCAGAATGCGACCACAAGTTCTCATTATCTGACTGAGGCACTCCAAATCCTCGGCCATGTCCTTAGACCCATTTCTGCGGTTCTTTTTCTTATCCAAGAGCTGTTTGATGCAACGGTGGAGTATACTCTCCGATAATATCTCCAACTTCCCCAGTTCTCCGATAAACTGCAGGAGACATAGGCACAAATAAATGTAAAGGCAAGAAGGAAACAGAATTACAATGGAAACAAAACTAATGGAATTTAGTAACAGGTATGAAACACACAATAAGAGTTGAAAATACACTACTCAATTACAAGATCTGAATTTAGGCTTCAGTAATTCATATAAGTAAACAACGTAGAATAGATTGTCCAAAACCATAAAGCAGTATGAACAGAAAGTACGTGACAAGAACAAGATGGCCGAAGGGAGGCTGAACATGGAAAGAAAAGACAGACAGAAGAGAAGAACTTTCCTTCAAACAAGCAAAACTTAAGTTTATTACTATTCTTAGGATGCTAATTATCACTCAACTAATGATGTTTTCACCTTTAGTCACCATAGCAAAGTTGCACCAAAATGTTCAGTGTAAGAACAAACAATTCTCTACAGTTTACTGCTAACAATGGAAGCAAGTTTTAATATTATATTGTCCATTCTGTGCTTGTTCTTTTCATGAAGTGTTGATCTGCTACTTAAAAACAAACATATTTCATTCATAATGAAAGGTATTATGAGGGTGACATGTTCCAACCCCACAGATTTATCTTTATGCCCTTACGTATATAATATGATGCAAAATCACATATGTAACGAAAGACTGTCTAGATTTTCATTACAATAGAATTGTAGTTCTATGATTTTAAGTGCCGAACTTATTAGTCAAACAAATGTAAAATTTATATACACTAACCCAGCACAGATTTTGCATGAACCAGTACAAACACACTTTTTGCTATTCTTTAGGATCAAAACATTACTAGGGTACATTATATAAAGTCTTTAAAGAATTAGGTAGGTACATTTTTTATTCAGTCAAGAAACACCAGGCAAAAAGAATTTTTATTTGGAACACAGAATTTCTAGATTCTGACTCAACGCTCAGCGCTAACAGGCAAGCTCATATTCTTTGAAGGTCTGCGTCATACATACACACATTACTGTGATGATCGATGTGTGCACATGCACGTAGAGGATTATGGACTATACTGTCATGGGCTGTGCTGCCAAGTTTATAGGGCGCATAGATTAGTACTAATTTAAGTTATCAGTCTTGTGAAGACACAAGTAAAAGTGTAGTAAAGCTATACCACTACATGCCAAGTAGGTGTTTGGGGGGGAGAAGAGGTATAGCTCCTACTCATTCTTGACCTTAGCACTTAGAATTATAAACTTATACATGCACTACTTACTTGTATCTTGGCTGTACTTATTTAGGAACCGGATTACAGGCACCCTGAAGCTTTACACCATACACTATCGACAATTTAGCACCACACACATCTTAACAACAATACTGGTGGTGGACAAAGGTGGTGCTCTAACAGGGGCAGACTGTGTATCTCACAATGAAGGGGGGAAAAATTACAAGAGGTTTGACAATGACTTACCAATACATATCAGAATCTTGCTGATGGCACTTATTTGCCTCAAGCTACAGATAAAGGATGCTGTCAAAGAAATTACCAATATGAAACAGAATTACTTCTTCCAGTTCTCAAGCCTTCTCAAAAACATTGTTCTGAAGGAGAAGGCCAATGTTGTTGCGAAAAACAGTGCGGGACAAAATTAAAAGCTTCTGCCCCACCAAGTATGTAGGCGTGTTCCACTACAACTTACTGGCTGAAAATGCGGTGTTGGAGGCGTTGAGGAAAGCTCACAACTGATTCTAGCCTATAGAAATTAGCAATGACAAGAAGAGAGACCTTTCGAATCTTATGAATGTAGTTCCTGAAGGCAAATAGTAAACAAAAGTGTTTACTGTTTATTGCTTTACTAGCACATGACAAGGTTTAAACCGTAGTTGGTAAGAATTACATTAAATTGTTGACCCCATCAACCATTACACAGCATTGTCTCTTAACACTAGTTAATATGTGTGCACTTTGCATTGTCTGGTAGTAATTGCTGAGTTTTCTCTTCCCGCTGATACAAACACTGAATTCTCAAACATTTTGGTTATTTGCTCTAATTTGCAGTATAGTGACCAGTGTTGTAATAAGTAATGTTTCTTAAAAACATATCTTGTAATGCAATTTGATGAATTTTAAGTGTTGGTGCCGTACATAAATAGTCAATTTATATTTCACTTTTTCACACTCCGCATACAAGGTTCTCCTCAATATAAGATTCAGAACACTTCTCCCCTGGAAAAACATTAAATAGGCATTTTACTGTACAGCACAATACTAGCTCCAAGCACTTCTATAAAATATAAGCCCCTTATATTTCATTGGATAAAAGAGAGAGGGGGGGAGGAAAATCAGGCATAATACTTAACAAGCATCATGCAAACCTTGATGTTTCCAAGCATTTTGCGCTTGGCAAGCTGTCGTCGCTCCTCCTCCTCTGGCGCCAGGGGGCCATCACGATGTTCAAATGCTTCAGATGCTTTGGAACGATTTTCAAACTCAGTACGACACTTGTTCAGAAGCAGTAAACGAAAGGTGCAGCAGGGACTGTCTGGTGGTTCAAGGTTTGGAGCTTCCTCAGAGAGCCTCTTGCACAACTGTGCATACATAGAACTATATTTGGGCTCATCGAGGGCTTTTTCAAAGATCTGCAACACATAAAGTACCTAAATAACTCTCTGTTCACAGAGTATGAAAGTTCAGAAGCAGTTATGACAACAGGCCACATGAGATCCTGCCACAGAAAGAGACGCGACATGCTGTGACTGCCAGACCTGTTCCACTCTCAAACAACGCACAAATACAACTATGACTAAGATATTATATAGCTTAATGTTAAAAATTACAACATTCTCAACACAACATAACAGAAGATATCAGTTCTCCTGAAATGGGAGCTGGAAATACCAGCAAACCTATGGATATTGAGAAGTCTACCACGGATGGAGTATCAACAGTTCAGACGAACCTACTATTATGAATAATAAGGAAGGCATTATCAAGATACATAAGTGCCAACCCATGACCAAAACAAATCCTCACACCAGGTAGTCACAGATTGAGAAACAGTACAATGCCAAAAGTAATGGACCCATGGAACCTCCTGAAACCTTTCAAAATGAACCCTCACGACCAAGGAGATAAAGGCACAGTTACTCTTCATAATGATAACTTAACACACAAACAAAAACAATTAAGTTTCAGAAGATTCATATTGATCAGACTGAATACCAACTTTCAGTATTAATTTATTAAAATTATTATCACATGGTCAAAAGTCGTAAGATTTAAAATTTATATAGTGCAAAAATTAAATTATCTACTACTTACCAACAATATAACACCTTTGAGAATCACACCTGAATTAAGTTCTGTTTGCAGTAAATCATCGCTCAGCTTCTGGAATTTCTCTGGGGTGAGCTTGTTGAGTATACCCCGCACCTGGAGCAATAAATATCATACATCAGCCTAAAATATAGTGGAATAAAGAACTATCCAGTCACATAAGGACATTCACAAGCACAAGAAAGTGACAGAAAAAATGTGAACATAAGACAAACTTTTGTCACAAACACTGTAATTATTTTGCCCAACATCCAGCTTCAACTAGCTTCAATCCCTGATATCCGACTATGGAAACATACTCATTTCTTAAAAAGTAGTGTTTGGAGAAAATTATAACAGACAATGTCCAAAATAATTATCAAGTTTATAACAACACATCTTTGCTAAAAACTTCTGTGAGTTTGCGTTGTGTACTATACACACACATAAACTCGCATTTTCTTGCAAAGTCTTAGACCTGGTGAAAAAACATGACTACACGATTTCCTATTTATTCGACCAACGATCTTTTAAAAATATTGAGGGGAAAAATGCACAAGACGTAAGGAGATTTGCGATGGGAAGTCAAAAATGACAAACTTAATTTCAATTGAAATATGTTTCACTGCTTATCAAACATATTCCTCTAACTGGCCTATAATTACAATTTAACAAATAAGTTACATAAGCATGTACACATAGAAATTTTACTAATGTTAGGTTTTCAGTATCTTACATAACACGAAATCCTTGAACATTATGAACTTGCCATATTCTCCTTTCTACACATTACAAGCATAAGGGAAGGGAACAAAGGTACATTCAAATTTCTGAATATTCAGGATTACATTTAAGGAATAGGAGACAACGGAAGATCAACTAATATGAACATATTTACACAGGTGGACACAAGATACAAAATATTTTATGGCTAGGGATGTTGATAACTACGTGTTTCTTACCACAGTTTAAGAAACGAAGGACCTACCTTACGGAAAATAAGATCATTGCGATTTTCTGGGGTGAGTGCATCTCGTCTTACGGTTGAAGGAGGGATCCAGCGCCGCTTTGTGGAAAGGGAGCGAGATTCGTCCCTGCAATAAGCAAAATGCAGTACCTTTCTTCACCTAGACACTCAACCCATCACACTAACAAAACTAAAATCAACTTACGCTGTTCACATTCACAATATGAACACTTTACAAACATAAGTGTGGTTACAAAATTCACAAACATCTTGTCAAAAAAATCTGCAGTTAAATCAGGAGCACATTCATACACAAATAAATATATAAATATACTAAATTTTTGAGAAGACATCCAAAGTTACTGAATAACATGTTTTTTTGGGCACAACTTGCCTTATGAAAGGAGACCAACTACTGCACTAATTGATACACAAAGCTCATTTTACGCCCATTTCAAAGCTAAAATTAACTTTCCACTGACCAACTACACCAATATAATCAGCACAGCTACATTTCCAATGTCTTCAAATCTGACCATTGGAATTAAATTTTTCAAAATCCTGCACTTAATTTTGTGAATAAAAATTGTGTGCATGTACCGGCTTTACAATTTATGAGCTTACGGTCGTGCTTACATTGCGTTATCGGCCAGTGCTGTTGACGAAGGCGGGACTTGTATGCGTGAGTCACGGACGAGTCAGTTTCGGTGCCGCTAGTAACAGCGAACTACGAATATTTCTTGTCACTAATACATGTTATTACATTAATTGTTTTTATCTTAAATCACAAAAAGAAAATATTTGACAATTTCCCAAGAAGAGCTTCGTCGAGTATTTCGAAACATGTTAACGAGATGTGAAACTTGCTTGCAAGCACAAGGAAGTCACTTTGAACATCTTTTGTGTACTATTTAAAACAGCTGTAAATATCAAGTTGGAACTACAATGAGAAGCAGTTTACTGTAAATCACTTCACGTATACTGGCAAGGCATCTTCACGCAACATGTTTCTTTTGCATTCTTTACATTTAATTGTGGTTAATGCAAATTAAATGTGACTACAGACTGAGAAATACAGCAATTTATATAGTAAGATACCTTCTTGTAAGAAAACTACAGGCACAAAAGCTAATGAAAACTGTCAATACAATCAAAAACTGATGGTGACAAGGCACATTTTCTTTAGATAACATAAGAAGTGGAAGTTTCTTTCATCTTGGAATTTGAAGTTACAGATGCATGTACTACCCCTCTCTGCTTTCAATTTGGTCTCTTCGCCGGTTATAGTGAAGGCACGTCCTATTGAAGTGTTAGGATTAACTTTTTGCTAGAATTGATGATTAAGGAAGAAAAATAACATTCAGCATATCTATATATATGATTCAGAGTCCATGAGAATGAACAAAACTTATTTTGAAGTCAGTTGATTTCTCATTGACAGCACGCACACCAACAATGAGAAATTATCACACATATAAGTCACAAATCCTGTGGTGATCATTCAATTACACCTTTTAGCACATTAATTATGTGGTTCTCTGTACAATTAGAACACAAAAGGTTTTGGGTAAGTACACCTTTCTCAACCAGCACAAATACACTAAGCTGCCGAGTTTCGCAGTTTTTCCTGCTGCAAATGAACTTGATAACACACACACTTCTTTGAAATCATTTTCTGTCACAAAATAAAAATTAAAGTTATGTATGCTGAATTGATCCCATTTCACACATCTGGTTAAGTGTCATTTGGTCATTATATGGTTGCTGTAAACTTTTTTAGAGCACCACCAACACCAACACCATCACAAGCACTCTTACCATGAGACATTATAAAGAAGTGCCACTCTGCTGGCATTCCGTCCTCATTGTGACATGCAATATTTGATATTTTTTTATGTTTTTGCACCTGGCTGCAAATCCATTAAATGTCAACAATTTTTTCAGCAGTGATTCAAATGTGTTTTCAATAAACTTCATACAATGCTGTTGGAATGTGTGTACTAGAGAGTAATCATGCTTCAAACTGATTCAATACTAGATTCTCATGAAATTCACAGGAATAAATATTTCCACTGGGAGTATATTAACCACAAAAATTATTCAATAAAGATCACGTAACCTGACATGGACGACCCATCTGTGTCTGCAACTTGTCACCCTATTAACTTCACAAGTGTAATCACAATAATTCAATATGACAGAAAATAAGAGTTAATAAACATTTCATACCTTACAAAAATGTTTCATTGTGACATATCACACAAACAAGCTGTTCTCACCACACTTGTCCAAATTGCCAGGACCACAAATCACTTAGAAAATTTGTATGTGGAAATCCTCTTTCTCACAAACTTCAGAGAGAATGGCTATTTGCCTTTGAACCCCTGATGAAGTGACAAAAGCGGCATATGTTAGCCACTTCAGACATGAACAACAGACTCGTCACAAGGTTCAACATACGAATTGTAGACATTTCAGCCATAAAGAAAGCATCTGTTGTGGCACACAAAAAATTACCAACACTATGTCTCAATCTCCAAGGCATACACTGCATCCCCAAGAATGTAGCAAAATGCAGGCAACGGACAGAGGGACCACATGACAAACATGCTGTAGAGTGCTGGCACAACATAAACTTACTGTGTCCATGCACATCTGCATCGGCTGAACACAGCACCAAATTGGGACAAGGTATAAACCAAGAATAACAAATTTACGGAAAAACCACAGGCTGCATCAATTATCCAGTAAAGAAAATCACCAAGATCAGATTACAGATTAATTGTATTAACATCACAGAATTCACCTACCAGCATACTTCAACAACACATTTATCTGCAAACTTCAGTAAAGAACAACATTGGAATCCATAGAAGAAAAAAATTAAAGCTCTTTTAACATCCCAATTCATTCAGGTTACGCAAAACTGACTGCGGCTTGGGTATAGAATTACGACATGTCTTGCAAGCTGTCAGAATGGGGCAAGTGGAGAAGAGGGGAAGTACTGGATGCACATCAATATACATCCAAAAAACACCAATCTTCCATTTCCTCCACAGTTTACGTGCAGTACCAAGTTTTAAATTAAAGAGTAGTGTTAATAATAGAGATGGATTGAGAAATAATTAGAGTGGTCCACACACAAGCCATTGTCAGTCTGAGAAGGCCACAGCAGCACCACAGCGCTCTCAATCTTTACCTGACCATGCCGAATCTAATGTAACCCAGAAATTGAAGAGCACAGCTCACAAGATGTCTGACAAATACTATTGGAACGGTGAGCACATCTGCCCACTGTTCTCAGTGGCCACTTCCAGATACGGAAACAGGTTTCATGAGTTAACAATGTGAATGTGTGTGCGCACGCACCCACACACACTTGTATACACAATAAACAGCCACTTTACCCATCATAAGAACCTAATAACAAAGGTGGAGAAATTCAACCCACAATAACAAAGCTGATCAACCAAAATCATTTCTCTGCCATCACCTACAGTCAAATTTTGTTCTTCCAAACTTTCTTAAAAAGGAGACATAAGATTCTCAAGCAAATAGTAGCAAGCACTCCATAATTTAAACTGATCCTAATTTCTTCCAGCATAGGTGACTATTTCTATTGCAGATGCTTCCTTCAACACCACACTTATGACATCAAAAATACCACAAGGTTCCCCTGTCATTGTCCTCTATCATCTTTCCAATAACTTAACATTCACTGTAGCTCTCAATTGCATGAATCCTTGCATTCTTTCAGGCAGAGCTTACCAGTGAAAGATATCACATCCCTGCCAAATAAATCTGTATGTTGACCCTCAAGACTTCCCTTTCATTTTGACTGGCACAAGGGAGCTATTTTGCAGATTTTCTTACACACACTGCAAAGTCAGGCAGGTCAATAATCAGAGCCTGTCCACATAATTTTTGCAACAGCTTTAGCTATAAAATAACAACTGATTATTTATGAGCTGTGCCACTGTAACAGCGCAGTAGGAAGGGCAGAATGAAAAGAAGGAACTTGTGGGTTATCGGTACACATCGCTTTAAAAGCAGGTTAGGTTAGGTTAATGTGTGTGGATAAATGACATGTACTTGAAAGTTATTATATTTTATTTGGATATGCATGAGATGTTAATTGTTGTTACAACCTGTCTCTGGAGGCAAAAATTCGCTTATAGATTTAGAATCGATTTAAACATATCACCGTTATCATTTGTATGCAGCCACATGAACTCAGCTAAATAAGTGAACGAACAAACAGATAACAACAACAACTGAGTATACGGGTATACTGATACGCATGCACAGTTTTCTGTCCAATCCAAGTCCATATATTCGACTCTCCCGTTTTGTGTCCCGATAACCAACAAGTACTGAAAAGAAAAATTAGTGCACTCACAGCTGTACTTCACATACAAGTACTCTGCCATTGTTCTCATCACCTCTATGTATATTTTGCTGAACTGCAACAAGTTCCATGTCGAGTAAGAATACAAAGAAATATATCAATGAAATTACATGTTCATCAGTAAAATGAAAGCATGCTAAGTAATCCAAATATTTAGAATTTCCTCAATAAATTACAAGGAGTAGGCCTACAAATTATCACACCGAGATATAGCTGGTCCAAAATGTTAACTGACAGGAGAAAATAGAAGCTTTGAGGTTATGTCAAATGCTTACACAACCAGTACAGCTGTGGTGATATTCCACCCTATTGTGGATGAATGAACATAATTTATATCCAGCATTTCTGTTATTCAGCCTTTTCCATAACATGAATTTACACCACCAGTAATGATGCAAACACATAATACTGTACAAATGCAGTCACGTCTTCACAAATGGAAAACTACAAATTAATTATTTTCAAAAATGTTTCAGGACATACATATATGCTAGGAACTAAATATGGCCAAGAAGCAACAGCTAACTAACCTTCCTCCTAAGACACGAGAAGCACCCCCCGGTCCTCTAGGGCCGTCCGTTGTTGCTTGTGTATCGGCCCTCAAAACAATGAACAAGTTTCACTTGAGGAGAAATGAGGTTGGAAGCTGAAACAAGAAATATTGGAAAATCGGTAACAAAAAACCCTGCAAAAGTGGCACTCAAATGGAAATAACACGGACTTTAAATAATTAATGAACCCAAGGCGTTCATAAAAGTGACTGCAGGAAATGAAGTTCATTCACCCCCAAAACGACGAGCCACTGCCCAAAATATTAGAATCCTTAATTATAAAGCTGCCCAACTTTCACTGAGTAAGTGTAAACACATTAAAATACAGAAATTATTGCTAATCATAATAAATATCAACGTATAAAGAAAATGCACTGAAGAGAATTCATAAATGCGTAAAAATATGCGGTCGCCATCTTTGAAATGTCACTCGTCTCGCTACACCACCAATCGATAATAAGGACATAAAAAATCCTTTATAAAGACACTCAATTTCTGATCAAACAACATAAAGAAATGCACACAATACTATTCACATAACAAAATATTCAAGTATCACCACACACACACAAAACACGTACAGAGTAATCAACGCAAAGTCTCTTTCAAAATGGCCTTGGCGTGCGCCGAGTACGGTCACTAAGGAGAAAAAACCAGAAGTAAACCAAATCCTACACACTGCCGAAAACGCAAGCACAACACGAAACAACTCACACCGATCACCACATTGAGATGATATTTTCTTGACCACTGATATTTTTTTAAAAAAAAGGAACTTTTTCCTTCCTGCAGAACTCCAAATGCTCTTCTGATTAAATGTCCCCCGGCCCCTCTCAAGCCGCATGGCAAACATTACCCTGCGCCCTAACTCAACTATCATCATCCGTACCCCATTAGACTATCCCTGAGAACCCCGTACAAAGCACGTGTACCTCCCCGAAATCACACTTCGCTTCTGCCAATAACACAAAAATAATCCTCCAGAAATCGTGCATGAAACATTTTATATGAGTGTTGTCATAATTAATGTCACACAAACGCGTGTTATCAAGACTAATTAGTACATTACTTTTTTCTACCTGTGTTAAGATACAGGTATAACCCAGGTAAAGAATGGAGGCATGTACGCGTCATATTCCACGGTCAATGACACCAGACAGCTAAGCACGAAAAGGGGGGGAAAAAAGGGGGGGCAAAGACAGGTTCAAACGCCACTCAAATATTCAAGGCCGTAGCTGCTGATGCTCTGCTGTCAAACCTCGAATCGCATTCCAATGTTGAACCGTACAAACCTTGAACCGTTTGATTCACTGCCCAAATAGGATGTGGTTACAAAAAGTTAGTTCCGCCACGTTTCTACGACTGTCTCAGATACGTGGAAAATTATAATTCTCGTAGCCAACTTGGCAACACGGCCAGTTTACCCAGTAATCTTTTGGACTCGCCTTAAAGAATGTTCTTAAACCAAGTCTCCTTTGCACAAGGAAGTTTAAATGCATTCTTCGCTTTGTTTAAAATAAAATTCAAAATAAAAACTAGTTTCGTGACCACATCAGAATAAGTGTTCATAACAAATGACAATCTCAGGGTTTCACGGAGTCTACCGGCGTTGCCACATTTTAAAAATGCCGACAAATCTGGAATGCCAAACACACGAAATCCAACTGAAGCCGCTGGGTAATGAACGAAAAATTTCTGTCTTCTTG